TTTCACCACAACTATGGCAGCACTAATCATTTTTAGTACTTTTAATCTTTACCTTTCTGACAGGAGTTAGGTGGTACCTCATTGTGGTTTCAATCTGTGTATCCCTTATAATGAGGGATGTTGACCATTTTTTCATATGCTTTTAGGCTGTTTAAATATCTTTTGGTGGAACCAGCAGTTAGTGTAATGGCTATGTCGCTGGACTCCCATGTAGTTGACCACAGTTTGTGTCCTGGACCCGGTGGCTTAAAATTCACGCTGGGCACATGTGCATGTGTGCCCAAGATCTTGAGAGGAGAACAGAGGAGGAGAAGGGATTGCGGCATGGCTATCCCCTCTGGAGGTGATTTCATGCTTTCTGTCTCTCTGTGTCTCTCTGTCTGTCTCGCAAGCGCACGTGCCCTAGAGCAAAAAACCTCTCAAAAAAAAGTAAAAATGAAAAGAAATGTTGTTTGGTGTATGTATGTCTTTATCCATGAGGTGATTTCATGTATTAAAATCTTCATCTCTAACAATCCCATTTTATTCTTTCTAGTAGTGTCTATTTCTTCTTTTAAACCAAGAAAGGCCTTCTTGGGACCAGCAATTAGCATAATGACTATGTCACTGGACTCCCATGTAGCCAACTGTGGTTCAAGTCCCAGACCCAGTGGCTTAAACTCACACCGGGTGTGTGTGCGTGCCCAAGATCCTGAGAGGAGAATGGAGGAGAAGAGATTGAGGGATTACTCGCTTTCTGTCTCTCTGTCTCTCTCTGTCTTTCAGGCAAGAGCATGCCCCCTATAGCAAAAACCTCTCCAAAAAAAAAAGAAAGAAAGAGCTTCCTCAGCTGAAACTCTTTGTTTCTTTTCTCTTCCATCTCAGTTAGTTTTGTCACTATAAATGTTCTGAATTGTGTACCTGAAATTTCTATGAGTTCCGTATTATTGTCTATGGAATGATGAGTGAGTGATTTTTTCCTTTGGAGGAGAGATATTTTCTTTGTTTCTCATATTTCTTGTGCCTCTGTAATGGTATCTAGTCATTGAGTGTGTTATACATTTCTTCCTAATTTCTTCAAGTTATTTCTGAGTGTTCAGAGGTGAGCGGGAGGTGGTGATCAGTGATCACTCTGCTGCTCTACCTCCCTGAACGCTCATCCAGAAAATTGTCCTGTTGTCTCTTGACTTGTATAATTCAAAGTCCTCCCAATTTCTAGAGAACAGGTGTAACTGGAGCTGAGGTACTGAGCTTCAGTTGAGGAAGAGCAAGGGAAAACTCTGAAATCTGAGGCTTCAGAGGTGTGTGGCAGGGGATGAGCCACAGTCTCTCTGAAGTTCAGTGAATCAATGAATCATCTATATGATCAACTTCATTCAGACATTCAAGTATGAAATTGATATTTTTGTCTGTTTGTCTTTTATTTTATATATGTAAGTTGATAAGAATATTGATTGATAAATTGAAATTAATACATAAAGCGTACCATTAAAATATTATTATTGCTGTTACTATTCATTGGTTGATTTATTGATGACAGAGTGTTACTTTAGAAAGAATATGAGTTTTTGGGGAACCAGCAGTTAGCGTAATGTCTATGCCACTGGACTCCCACGTAGTCGACCGCGGTTCGCGTCCCGGACCCGGTGGCTTAAAACTCACGCCGGGCGCGTGTGCGTACGTGCCCAAGATCCCGAGAGGAGAATGGAGGAGAAGGGATTGCGGCTTGACCATCCCCCCTGGGGGGTGATTTCTC